GAGCTGGTTTTTTGAAAAGATCAATAAAATAGACCACTAGCCAGATTTATAAAAAAGAAAAGAGAATAATCAAATAGATGCAATAAAAAATGATAAAGAGGATATCACCACTGATTCCACACAAATACAAACGACTATCAGAGATTACTACAAACAGTCCTATGCACACAAACCAGTAAACCTGGAAGAAATGGATAAATTCCTGGACACTTGCACCCTCCCAAGCCTAAACCAGGAAGAAGTCGAAACCCTGAGTCTACCAGACATACAAAGAGGGGATTGTACCATTCCTTCTGAAACTATTCCAAACAATCCAAAAAGAGGGAATCCTTCCCAAATCATTTTATGAAACAAACATCATCCTAATAGCAAAACCTGGAAGAGACTCAACAAGAAAACAAAACTTCAGGCCAATATCCAGGATGAACATAGATGCAAAAATCTTCAGTAAAATACTGGCAAACCAATTGCAACAGCACATCAAAAAGATTATCCATCACGATCAAGTAGGCTTCATCCTGGGGATGCAAGGCTGGTTCAACATATGCAAGTCTATAAACATAATCCACCACATAACAGAACCAAAAACAAAAACCACATGATTATCTCAATAGATACAGAGAAGGCCTTTGACAAAATTCAACAGCACTTTATGCTAAAAATTTTCAATAAACTAGGTATTGATGGAACGTATCTCAAAATAATAAAAGTTATTTATGACAAACCCACAGCCAATATCATACTGAATGGGCAAAAACTAGAAGCATTCCCTTTGAAAACTGGCACTAGACAAGGATGCCCTCTCTCACCACTCCTATTCAATATAGTATTGGAAGTTCTAGCCAGAGCAATCAGGCAAGAAAAAGAAATAAAGTGTATTCAATTAGGAAAAGAGAAAGTCAAATTGTCTCTATTTGCAGGTGACATGATTGTATAATTATAAGACCCCATTGTCTCAGCCCAAAATCTCCTGAAACTGATAAGCAACTTCAGCAAAGTCTCAGGATATAAAATCAAGTACAAAAATCATAAGCATTCCTATACACCAATAACAGACTTAAAGGGAGCCAAATCAAGAACAAAATCCCATTCAAAATTGCTACAAAGAGAATAAAATACCTAGGAATACAACTAACAAAGGGTGTAAAGGACCTCTTCAAGGAGAACTACAAACCACTGTTCAAGGAAATAAGAGAGAACACAAAAGATGGAAAAACATTCCATGCTCATGGTTAGGAAGAATCAATCTTGTAAAAATGGCCATACTATTAAAAGTAATTTATATATTCAATACTATCCCCATCAAGCTATCAATGATCCTCTTCACAGAACTGGGAAAAAACTGCCTTAAACTTCATATGGAACCAAAAGAGAGCCCACATAGCCAAGACAATTCTAAGCAAAAAGAACAAACTGAAGGTGTCACACTAGTTGACTTCAAACTATACTACAAGCCTCTAGTAATCAAAACAACCTGGTACTGGTACCAAAACAGAGATACAGACCAATGGAACAGAACAGAGGCCTCAGAGGCAACCCCACACATCTACAACCATCCGATCTTTGATAAACCTGACAAAAACAAGCAATAGGGAAAGGATTCCCTGTTTAATAAATGGTGTTGGGAAAACTCGCTAGCCATGTGCAGAAGGCAGAAACTAGACCACTTTCTGACATCTTACACTAAAATTAACTCCAGATGGATTAAAGACTTAAACATAAGGCCAAACACCATAAAAATCCTAGAAGAAACCCTAGGCAAAACCATTCAGGACATAGGCATAGGCAAAGACTTCATGACTAAAACACCAAAAGCATTGGCAACAAAAGCCAATATAGACAAATGGGATCTAATTAAACTACAGAGCTTCTGCACAGCAAAAGAAACAATCATTAGAGTGAACTGG